CCGTTCTTTAAAAAAGTTTTCATTTTGATATGGCATATAAAAATTACGTGTTTGTACAAATTCCGTAATGTCCTAAGCTGTTAAATTTCCAAACCTTACAATCTTTTAAAATCACATTCAGAATTACTTGTAGGCTTACGCGCAGGCATAAGTCCTTATTGGAAATTGAGGCTGGGATTTTCCTGAAAAACCGTGAATTTTTTAACCATCGCAGTTAAATACCTGTTTGTGGATGATTCAGTGAAAGGCGTGGGGTGTTTAATGACATAAGCATGAGCATCATTACAATGTTTTTGAAATGTGGTTGCAGGATTGGAAGAGAAAAGCAGATCATGAACGTATTTTCATTTATAGTAATGTATGTTTGTGTCTACTCATTATGCGGCTGATGCGCATTTCAAATTCTAATATTTCCGTGAATATATATGCATATTTTCGGTTGCTTGTGGCTTTAAATCTGGAATTATTATGACGATGCCTGAGCATTGTTAGGGTACAGGTTTTGGGAGGTTATGGTGGTATGGCTTTTAGGGAGAGTATCTATCGTATGAATGTTGTTGGAACGGCAGATTACCCTTTGCTCTGCTTCATTTTTGGTTTGCAGCAATTCGCATTCATCGCGTAACGTCATTGATCAGTTCGATTCATTTAACTGATATGATTTCATTTGTACGGTGTATTGTAGGCCATCAGGAGGTATTTAAAGCCACCAGAAATTTCAGTTGATTAGTGAATTGCGGGATTGATTCGTTTGGCTGGTATTGGTTGAGACTGTTTCCGTTAATAGAGAAGTTCGTGCAGATGTTGAACGGGAAAATTGTTGATTCGGATGGATGCGCTTTGTTCAGAGTTGAGAGTAGAGTATCAGTTGGTTGTTGCAGCTGATAGGTTTATAGGCTGACTCTAGAGTATGGGTGTGAGGTTTTGGGTGAGATGAAAAATTAGGGTTCAAATTTGAGTTTATTTTCTAGATTGAGTTCAGATTCAATGAAGAAGGTTTGACCATGAATGGTGATAAGAATGTTTGGATATTGTGAAATATTAATTTGTTATTGATATAATCATCGTCATCAACATCGTCCTGTATGTCCATGTATGCCCATGCGTCCATTCGATTCTATCCTTGTTTTGTTTTGTTTTGAGCCGAATGAATGAACGCACTCTATATGTATGGCAAATGAGTTTATATATTTGTGGATATTTGTGGATCCTTCGGAAGATATGATATCCCGTTGTGAATCTACGAATGACTGATGTGAGACTTGTGTTGAGTGCTAATGACTTTACAGGCTGGCGGTCGTCATGCACACTATAAGTTGACAAGTACGGTGATGTTGTGGTTGCAAACGAACAAGGAGGGAAGTGGTATGATGAACTTGGGAGGATCGCTGACACGACAGGTCTGTCGCTTAAAGATTTCTTAATAGAAGTTTAGCATTTACTTTTAGAATCCATTGTGATTCTGGAACATTTTGGAGGATATCTCAGTATTCTATTTGTTTAGTCAGGAGCAATCTCAGTAACACATTATGAATGTTTGTGTTGCTATTATGTGTTTTTGTTGCAACTGAATAAAATAGATATTGCAATTTTATCACTCTCTCTCAGTGCTTGATTTAAGCCGATTTTGATTTAGAGGAGTTGCAGTTGATTGTGATTCCGAAAGAAATGGGATTTCAGGTTGAGGCCGATCATCCAGTAAATGATTCTGTGAATACGCATCTTGTTAATATGGGACGAATGATAGAGGTTTGTTAGTTGTGACATTTATTTTTGGCATTTCGTTCATTTGGAAATTGATTTTTTTAATCGATGGGATTGAGAATAGTTTTCACTGTTCATTTATTTGTATTGTGTTGGTATTGACGTGTTGATGCGGTATTAGTACACTTCAGACTGCAGACAAATACTCATTTTTAGTTTACATTTTTACTTGTGAGAGCTTTTAAGTAATACGTATATTTTATGTACGTAGTGTACTGCATAATATGAATTGTGTGTCGTTATGATTTTTTTGTGAACTATTTTGATGAATAACAAAACATGAGTGCTTGTTACGGTTGTTTATCTAGGTAATGGTATATTTTTTCAAATCTCGGGAATGTAGTATAAGAGATAAGAAGTGTAACAGGTAAAAGCGTCTAAGTACTTGTCCTTATCAATTCTTCTTGTGAATGAAGATATTTGAAGAATTCTTAAGTTTCATTTATCATGTTGCGCATTTTGTTTGCTATTAGAGATCCGCATAGATATTGCAAAATTATTATTATTATTGGTTGTTTGTTTTACGTTTGCTTGCATTCGTTTCAAAATGATTTGTTAACACGAAAGTTTGATGAGTTTTACGTGTTTTGTTCGATTCGAATATGAGGAGAGAAATTGAAGGATATGGAGAGTAAGATACGTTCAACGCTGAATGAGATTTACTTTGGCAAGACCAAACAGATAGTGTGCGAGTTGCGTACCACACTGGATTCAGAGGAGTTGAAGCGACAGAAAATGATCGCAAATGAAATAAAAGGCGGCATAACGAAATGATCCGTCGATGTGTGCATTGATTATTATTTGCTTGATTATTTTGATTATCATTATTGTTATGTTTTTATTATTGTTACGATCATTATTTATGCTGTCGTTTTTAGTCAGTCTTAAGTCAAGTTCGACTCTATTCTCTGTCTTTTTTAAGGAAGCGTTTTGTTCTGACTCTGACTCTGGAGAGTTATGAATCTTTATT